AGAGAGAGAGAGAGAGAGAGAGAGAGAGAGAGAGAGAGAGAGAGAGACTACATCCAATGAGGTAATAACTGTTTCATTGACTGAATGGGAGAATATGTTTAGAAGCAATAACAAGTTTTCTGAAAGCATCTGATGGATCAGTAAGAAGGTTCATCCAGCTTAGGGTGGACCCTAACAAGGACACAGAGCTACAGCCCACTGTTGACCCCAACAACTACCCTCACAAATGCTCTTAACCCCCCTTGAAAGCCATCTTAATCCGCACACTTCTTGCAAGTGGAATTCTTTAATTTTGGAATTGTGAACCCTAACATCACAGGAGGCATGACATTTCTATCACTTTCCCCATCTCGGGCTTGATTTCATAAATATCCACAGTCACGTCCAATTTCCTACTTTGCAGTGGCACCAGAGTCCCCCGCCAACACCTCCCAGCTGGAAGCCACAAATTTAAACCATAATAGTTTACGTTGGGCAAATTACTTTGCACAGAAATTCTCTTTTGATTCTTGGGATGAGTTCCACAGCCTGCTACGATCTTGGCAACCGAGACCGTACATAAGGTAGGTTACAACTCCGACTGGGAGAGAACTGAATTTGGAGCGGAGAGCTAGCAAACTGGGACGCCGTCTCAAACCTTCTGAACTGCCTCTCTGGGTGGGGCACAGAAGTTTCCCCCTTCGGTTGCAGCTCCTGTGCTCTCCCACGCATCGTACTTAACGAAAGAGCTGAGGATCGTGGAACTCGAGTGCTAAATACATTTGGAAGGCACAAGATTGGAGAGCTCATCCCGAATTGAGTTCCCTGCAGATTGCCGAAGGTGGGCTGAGGCGACTCTTCCCACATTCACCTGGCGAGATAGGAGTCTGCGGTGGCCGGAATCCTGCTGCAATCCGGTGTGCCCGACAGCTCCTGCCAGTTCTCAGGGTGGAGGCCCCACTTCACCTGCTGAACCTCTGCCACATTACACAGCGGTGAGGCTGCAACCCAGTCAGGAAAGAGAGATGCCAAGTGGCTGCCCAAAAGGAAACTCTTTAGAACTCCAAGAAGTTCTAGCCAGGAAGAACCAACCCCCCCTGCCCCCCTTTCTCCCTTCTTTTTAGGAAAGATGTTTGAGTCTTTGTCAGCTGGCCTCTGTCACCCATCTTGAAAACACAGCCTTTGTAATAACAAAAAAGACTGCAAATAAACAAGTCATCCAGGCAGATGACACCGAAAAAACAGAATTGTTGTTAAATTAGGCCAGAAAAAGGGCATTTATTACATGGCTGTCAACAAAATATTTCAATTATTCATTATTCAATTATACATTACTAGCACTCTTCAGTCTGATGAAGTTATGATGAACAGTTTAAAAAAAAACACATGAGAAACACGTTTATTTGCAGAAAGCAGCATTTGGAATCGGTACATTTTTGTTTACTTTTTTCCAGTATTTAAACCCCCTTATGCATTTGATGTTCAGGTAGAACATCAAGCCTCAGTTTGCTCTCCCTCCCGCCCTCTCCTCCTCTTCTGCGTCCGAGTCAGTATTGGTTTCTGACAACCGTCCATGGGATTTTCTCGGCCCATTTTCTTTGGGAAGAGACCTGCCTCCCCCACTCCCACCCCCTGAGGGCTGAGAGAGAAGGGCTACTGGCCCAAAGCCATCCATCAGGCTTTGTGCTCCAACATGGTCTCCTGGTTTCTAATCCCCGCAGCTTCCTTGGCAAGATTCCAGGCGTGGTTTGCCATTGCCTGTCTCCTTCCTGGGGCCGAGAGAGAGTGGCTGGCCCAAGGCTTCCCAGCTGGCTTTGTGCCTAAGGCAGGATGAGAGCTCAGGATCCCAATCCTGGCTTCTGGTGCTTTGAGCCTTCCCCCCAACGGCTCCCCTAATCTGGCACGGTACGCGTTAAGCGTTTCGGTTGCTCTCCGTACGGCGCTTCCCTTTGGCGCTGCACAAGTGGGAGGATCCACGGTTCGTCCTTTCCCTCAAAATGTGACCTTACCAATTAGGATAGAAACGTATTGTTGGATGGTTTGTTGATCCATTTAGACGTAGCCATAATCTGGGAAATGCATTAAAATGACATTAAAGTTGTGTTCCAGGTTAGTGAGAAAGACTTTTACAATACCAGATTGCTTACTTTTGTCGGCCAACTTACAATTTGTCTTAAAAACAAATAAAATGGCCCCCAGGAACTTATTCCACACCCCCAACCCAATTTGGATGTCTGACCTTCCAGTAAAAGAAAAAGGCAAAACTTCCACCGCGTTCTGCTCTAATTTAAACTGGAGAAGTAAAAAATATATTGTGTAAACGTGATGCCATGATTTTTAAAACCTTCTCTCACAGAAAGAAATATGGCATCTTCTGCTTTAATTTCTCCAAACTAAGGTTTTGTTTTTTCCAAAGCAATTTGCAAGAGTTTGTGGTCCAGCCACATTAATTAAGCACATATGTTTGTGACTTTCAGCGGAGTTGCTCCTGATTCTATACAATAACAACGTGGGGTAGACAGCATCACCACCAGATGCATTTGTAACTGGATGACCAACCGCACCCAGTGTGCAGGGTTCTCTCCACAGAACAACCCGTACGTTCGGGGAAGCCTGCCATGGAGCACCCAATCTTTGGCCCAGGACTCCTCAACAACTTCACATCAATGATTTAGATGACAGGGTAGAAGGGGAACTCATCAAATTTGCAGATGGCATCGGGCTGGTGGAAATAGCTAAGATTTCGAAGATAGGATCAACATCCAGGACAGACTTGAGTATTGGACCCCATCCAGGAATTCAGTAATGAGAAAAGTAACGTTATAAACTTAGGCAAGAAACACCCAAAACCACAGGGACGGAATAGGTCAACGGTATTTACTGTGGGAGGGATCTTGGGAGTCCTAATAGACAACCGCTTAAGTGGGAGCCAGCCGTGTGCCGCAGCTGCCAAAACAGCCAATGCAGCCCTAAGTTGTATCACTATAGGAATAGCATTAAGATCAGGATACATGAAAGGGCCACTTTATGCTGCACTAGTGAGGCTACGCTTCTGGTCACCACGATACCCAATAGGGACTCCCATCGCCGGCGGTTTTCAAGAAAAGGCTGGGCAGTCATGGGAGCTGGACTAGATGACCTCCAAGGTCCCATCCAGCCCTAGGATTCTATGACTTTTGTATCCCCCCCCCATGGAAACCATAAAACCCATCAGATGCCCTTTCTCCCAGAGGAAGGAATCTTCTACGTGGGTCAGTGACTTGAGGGCTTCCCCTGTGAAAACGGCCTTGGCTGATCCCAGGGATCTCCAGGAAGCTCTTGGACGCAAAGAAGAGCGAGGAAATGCCGCCGTGCTGGTGGCTTCTGGGAAGTGGCTTCCTCCAGCCCCTTCCATCATCAAGGCAGGTTGAGAAGTAGCCATTCTGAAATGATCTGACTGGATATAGGGCGGGGGTTCTTTCTCCCAACTTTCACAGCCAGCTTTGCCCCCGCCAAGTAGAAGCAGACACGCCCCAGGAGGAGGCAGCTGACAAGAATGTTTCTTTGGGTAATGAGCGTGGTCACCTGGTCCTCTCTGAAAAGGCTTGAAGCGTAGCTAATCAGGCAACTTCTAATGGAGGGTCAATTAAGTCCTCCTCCATTTAAAAAAAAAGAGAGAGAGAAATTGCCCAGGGACAGTCCGTGGAACCAGACAGGCAAAGCTAATGCAATCCATTTTCTCTGTGGATCACGATGGCCTGCCAGGATATCCAGAAGTGATGACAGATGGCAAATAAAGTCTCACTTTTGAGGGTCATTTTAAGGATGAGGCATCTGGGCCATAAAAACTTGGGGCCCTGATGCCATCCATTAGGCGGATGCTCGCTGTGTCCATCCAACCCCCTTTTTACTGCCACTTTGGTGTCCAAGACTGCAATGGATACGTACAAGCCGTCAGCACAGATCTTGAGGCCAGCTGTTCCTCCCATTTCTCCAGCCAAAATTAAATACCTTCTGGCAACGGCACAGAGTTTGCTTTCAGAATTACCGGGCCAGCCAGGGCATTTTAATAATGCCGCCCAAATTTCATTTGCTCCAAATTTTATTTGCTTCAAATTTCCGGCCGCCCAATCCAAATATAGTCAAGCAGCTGCTAAATCTCTAATGGGCTCTGGAACACCAGGAGTGCTGCATTTGGGACAAATAAGACTGGGACTCGGAAGATGCTGGGTACCTCCCCACCCGGAAGTCACAAAACTTCTGAACACACAAAAAGGAAAAAAAAAATCTCTACAAAGCCGTTGTGACTGAATGATTGGGTGGCCGAAGGAAGTCCCTCCTTTACTTGATTTACTTCCTACCTTCTTTCTCGTTATGTAACACCCACCCCTAGGAATACTACAACTTATTCATCAGGAATTTATTCTGCTGTATTCGATGCCACTTGATTCCAAACAACCCGGAGCCCCTCTCAACGTAAGTGTAATACAGCAACCAACAAGACCAAACCAGAAGAGAAAAAAAAAAGAGGAAGGAAGAACAATCCTGAGAATTTATTAAATGCCTCAAAGCATCCTACCAAGGTTTAACGTCCAGTGGAGCAAGCGCCATCCTGCCTTGCCACAGGCCAGGCCGAATAAATGGGTGAGGCAAAACCACCTGGGTTTCCGGGGTGGGGTGGGGGTGAGGGCACCTCGTTCCAGGCCCTGGGCAGGCCCTGCGGCAGAAGGGGAGCTTCCTGGGTCCCAGGAGAAGACGGGCCAGGTCTGGTTCCAGCTGGTCAGAAACCATGGAGGGCTTTAGAGGGCAATCGGCGCCTTGGCTCACCCTAGGAAACCAACTGGCAGCCATTGCAGCTTGCAAATCAGAGATGTCAGATGGACACTGTGAGTGGCTGACTATTTCTAGTTTAGCAAACCAATAACATTTCATCACAGTTCTCTGATTCGGGCATAACAGGGAGCTGTGATTTAAATGACTGGACCTCAACACCTGGTTGGACTTGCACAGCCCCTGAACCAACATGTGAAACATCCCCACCTATTTCTCTTCCTGTTATTTCAGCCCAAATACTTAAATACTGCAATACTGGTAATAAATAAAAACAATCTCCAAATGTGTGCATAGATCTCATACTACTTGGGCTCCAAAATATAGTATTATGGAGATCAGCAGGACATGCAAAACTTAATAAGAGCCATTTATCGAACCGAAACATTCCGTTTCTTGGAGCAAAATTCATACAATCCATCAACTGGATTCTACAAAGAATGTGCTTCTCATGGGGATCCAACTGACCCAGATCACAAAGGCTTTTCCAGGTGGAAATCCAAACCATTCACATGACACCCACCCCCAGCCCCCACCCCAGACACAGGAGGCACTTTGAATCCGCAGAACCAAGTCATATTTATATTAAAAGTTATATTTATACAACTCATAAGGGAAGAGATATTGATCTAATCTCCACTTTCCAGGGCAAGGTCTGTATAACACCACATACTGTTTCCTGTGGGATTAGCTTTTAAATTTTAATTTTAGTGTACGTGTTTAAAGCTGCCAGAGCAATAATTACCCATACCAGTGAACATTTTCCTCTGTCCTTTGAGTCTTCATAATTCACCTACAAATTATATACCATCCCTCCTTAAAAATTCATTTGGAATATTTGCTTATGTGCAGGTTGACATATCAACTTCAGAACTACACTTAACAATCACCCAGCCTCATAAAATGTTATCAGCTTAACCTTATCACAGCAGAAATTGAAGGCCAAGAAGACACCGTCTCTTTTTTAATTAAGAGACTGTCACTCTGGGGATCAGGTACCCAATTTTCTCCTCCCTCTGCTGGCTAGAATCTCCTGTGAAACTTCAAACACTTTAGAGAAATTGTGGAAAACCTTTCTGAAGCCAAAACTTGGGCCTCTTATCTGAAAGCAAAGCACTTCACTGTTCTAGCTGCTTTGGAGTTATTTTAATTCTGTGGAAAATTGTGTCACCCAAAAGGCAGCCTGGCCTTTATGGTCCCTGCATCCTGTCCAGCTACAGCCGAACTCCAGACTCCGTCTAGAAAACCAAGACTGCAACTAGCAGCCCCAGCAGACCAGCTGTTGGTCTCCCACTTGTTCCATGTCTTCAGAAGTCCAAAAATCTGAAATACATCTCTAGTTTTGAACTGGAAATCAATTTTCCTGTTTTTGATAGCAACAGATGCTTTCAGATGAAGAACCAGAACTGAAACAGAATGGATGTGCCATCCAAGTGGGAACGAAACTGTGGGTAACTTCCTTAAATCTCTGAATATATTGTTGAAAGTACCCAAAAGAAGGGGGGAAGATACAGAAGGAATGAGAAAACAGTTAAAATCCGCCTCTCACTAAGAGAATACTAAAGCAGCTGCTGTACCTCTGGCACGGAGCAGACGCCATCCGTCTACAAGGAATGTTAGCAAAGGTAACTCACACAGTCAACCTTTACGTCCACCTGGGCGAACTTGTGTTTTTAGTTTCAGATTCATTCCATGTGCATTCAACCAGTTAATTTTCAGAAAACTCAAACTCACAATACTATATTTTATTCTCTTACAAGCAAATCAGGAAATCTCTTCATTTGGAAAAGAATATATTTTATACCATAGGCCCCAGCCCTTTTCTACGGTTAGAAAATCAAAATACAATGCAATTATTATACAGATAATTGTCATAATTATCTACTAAACCCGTCAGTCCTATCATATTATGCTTTCTAGTATTAATAAAGTACCATCTAAAAACTATGCAACTTAACGAAGACAAAATAAAGGTTCCATCAAATTGTAAGCCAGCCTGGTTCTGGATAGGAGGGTATTGTTCCAGGGTCTTAATTTTAAAAACGGGGTCCTTGTGAAACCCAGTGCCAGGAATGGGAGGCCCCAGGAGAAGCTTCAGGCAAGGAAGGAAAGTCCAAGGCTACTGCTCTGATCCACGCCTGAGGCCTCCAAACAGGGTGGAGGATCCTGGGGGGCCCTGGCTGTCCATCTCTGGCTGAAGGTCTCTTGAAAGCTGCCTGCTGAGGTGCTAAAAAAACAAACAAACCCCTGTATTCCAGCAGTTTCCAGAAGGGAATTGATTAAAATTGGTGGGCTGAAAACACGCACAACTGCCAAGACCGGTAGGGTCACCTTTGACCTTTGCCATTTTGAAAATCCCTTCCCCATAATCCCCACTTGCAAGGGGCTCCCCAAGTGGGTCAGGTTCTGCTGGGTCAGACAGAGCAAAGGGGGCTGGATTCGAACGCCTGGCAAGGCCACGTTGCACAAAACAGAAATGTTACAAGGAAGGCCAAAGTCCCCCGGGGGGAGGGGGGTCCTTTTGAAGGAGAAAAAGACATGCTGAGGGGAGGGGCTTTTTCAGGCAGCATCTCGATGCCTCAGGGGTGGGCAGGGGGTGTTTCCGGCACGGCTGACCCTGCTTGCCCAGGAGGAGCAGCCCAGTTTCCCCACAAACCAAGCCTTGCTTCCAGCCGCCTTGCCTTGAGCCCATGGCTCCACCCATGGAGGACCCCGTTTCCAGTTGGGTCTGCTGGCCACCCCTTCCTTCCTTCCTTCCTTCCTTCCTTCCTTCCTTCCTTCCTTCCTTCCTTCCTTTCTTTCTTTTCTTTCTTTTTCTTTCTTTCTTTCCTCCCTCCTTCCTTTCCTTCCTTTTTTCCTTCCTCCCTCCCTTTCTTCCTTCTTTCCTTCCTCCCTCCCTCCTTCCTCCCTCTCTCCCTCCTTTTTTCCTTCTTTCCTCCCTCCCTCCCTCCCTCCCACCTCCCTTCCTTCCTTCCTCTCTCCCTCCTCCCTCCCTCCTTTCCTTCCTCCTTCCTTCCTTCCTTTCCTCCCTCCTTTCTTTCCTCCCTCCCTCCCTCCCTTTCTTCCTTTCCTTCCTCCCTCCCTCCTTCCTTCCTCCCTCCCTTCCTCCTTCCTTCCTTCCTTCCTTCCTCCCTCCCTCCCTCCCTTCTTCCTTCTTTCCTTCCCTCCCGCCTTCCTCTCTCCTTCCTTTCCTTCCTTCCTCCCTCCCTTTCTTCCTTCTTTCCTTCCTCCCTCTCTCCTTCCCTCCCTCCCTTTCTACCTTCCTTCCTCCCTCCCTCCCTCCCACCTTCCTTCCTTCCTTCCTCCCTCCCTCCCTCCCTCCCTCCCTCCCTCCCTTCCTTCCTTCCTTCCTTCCTTCCTTCCTTTCCCAAGTGCAGCTGGCTCCCCTCTAGCTCAGCCAGGGTTCCCCAGGGTTTGTTTGCTTGTCCTAATCCTGCTAATGTCCCGAGGAGGCCCTGCAAAGCCTCCCAGAGGAGCCGGGTGGGGAAAGCCAGCCAGGGACTCCTGTACCTTGTTAAAGTGCTCGATGAGAATCTCCACCACGATGTTCTGGAACTTAATATTCATCATCGCCGCCACCGTGTCCTCTTGCGCACGCATGAGGGTGGGGCCAAAGATCACCCCCATGTTGGAGGGGGACATGAGGTTCTCCCTGCTGTGTTCACACACCCTGTCGGGAGAAGGAGAGAGAACAGAGAGGGGTTCATCAAAGGGGAGGAAACGAGGGGGGCCTGGAATTGCCTCCCCCCCCCAACACACACCCCCAGGCGGAAGAGGGTGCAAAGTCACGGCCAGGGAAGCGCCAGGTGCCCCGTCTCCCAGCTGCCCTAGCCGGTTGGCAGAGGACGGAGGTTCCTCTCGGGCCCAGCTGACCCGGAGGGCCCAGAACAAACAACTCCCCACCCCCCCTCCAAGTCGGCAGGGCCTGGCTGGATCTTAGACCACCACACCACGTTGTCCAGGGGAAATGAATTCAGCCGTTTTAATTTCTTCCATGCACAAACAGGAAATAATTTTCCACTGCAGCTGAAGCCAACGGTGAGCACAAATATGCACTCGAAGCAAAGGCTCCCTTGCCGTGTCCCAGGAGACAGAACTGCAACGGCCCTGATAGATGACCACTGAGGTGCCTACTCGCTCTGGCACGGTCACGTAAAAACACACAAGACATTTTGAAATGATCTCTGTCATTCAAACCTCACTCATCTGGGACAGAAAACTCTTATTTGAGAAACTGTAGGCAGCCACATCTCCGTGTGTGTGCACGTGTGCGTGCAAAAAAAGGAGATAAAATGGCACTTATGAGCAAATTGAGTTCCAGAGGAGAGCACCGTTATTTTCCCTTCCCTTTTAATTCAAAGCATGACTTCTTTCCGAAACAAGATTATTTACAAAACGCTTTGCAAATCAACCTAGAAAGAGAATCAGAGCAGACAGACAAAGCATTTTATTTCAGTCACTGACCAATAAAAATACAATCAATACAATGAACAATACAGAGCTATCCCTGAGCAACAAGAACCACTGGCAACCATTTTATGGGAGAAGCTTACACATAACATAGCAAACTTTAGCTGCTTTTAGAGAAAAGTTCTTTTTTTTTTCTTGATTGGAAAACAGATAGTGCAAATAAAAAGGATCGGAACGCCTCAGAAATTTAAATCAAAGAGCAGTAACCAGCCGAGAATGCCCCTTTAGTACTGGCTGTATAGAAGAACCTGAGCTGTGGTTTCTATGGCACCCCAGCACAGGGGCAGCGTTGGGGGTTTTCTACATTTCCCTGTCTTTCAGGACAGCTGAGGGAGAACATTAAATCAAGCTCAAGATTTTGAGGTGCAGGGCATGCTTTAACAAAGTTCTCTCTTGTGACAAATCCGGGCCGGTTACAACGCCCCCTCTGGGCCATTTCTGCCCCGTGCCAAACCAAGCACCTACGGATGCCCAAAGGGCTGGTTTTGTTCTCTTTAGTAAACGAAGCTTGCAGCCACACACACTTGGAAGTCAAGAGACACGTTTCCCCCCAAAGTTCAGCAAGCTTGGCTTACGAGAGTTTCCAATCAAAGCAGCATGCTTTGTCAGATCCCGCAGCTTCGGCCTGGTGCCTTGCCGGCGTTCTGTCATCAATCGGGGAAGGGAGGCGGGGGGGACACAAGGGGGCAATTTGCCCCGCCAGGGATGTGATGGAACTGGAGAGCATCATCCAGGGTTCCAGGACGAAAGTCCAACCTGCCTAAAGCCCTTTCCTCTGCAAGAGGAACATTTCGAACAGAAAATGTTTTTCTAAAACTAACTTTTCTGAAGAGAGGCTCCGGCACCTTCTCCCGGGTTTGCTAGAATGACCACCAACTCATCTGTTGCAGATGTTTCCACAGGTAGGCTGGGATCAGGCGGAGTGTAAAGTTTTCTGACTTTTTGCCCACCGGAGCCTTCAAACGCACACTGACTTCCCACCTCGATGGAAGCCAGGAAGCCACGCAGTGCAAAGCGCAGCCACTCGGTACGATTGAAGGTTGGCACCGTTGACCGAGAGAGGAGCAACGCGAGGCATTGGGAAGGAGGGCCCAGTGGAAATCCTGCACGGGCTCCAAAACTAGCTCGCACCAAAGAAATCAGAGCCGCTGACTGCTGAGCGATCCCAGAACCCCGAGAGGAGGCGAGGGCTGCACTTCCCGTCCCTTCCCTTCCCGCAGAAGAGACACGCACAAGAAGAGCCAAAGGAAACTAGGCTGGGAAAGAAAGCCCTCAAAAGAAATCTTGGCTAACCAGATGGGCAGTTTCGTTTTCCAGCAAACATGTTGTAAAGCTGTCTTGTGGGCAGTTGGAAAATGGCTAGGATTGCACGTAATTTGCTTGGTTTTGGATGAGACAAATGCAGGGAGTCAGACCATGGAGATCTTAACCATGATTTACTGCTTAATGTTTACTGCTTAATGTTACGAGAGAACCAAGCCAATTGTGATTGTGGCCCCAAGTGAAATTGAGTTTGGCACCCCTGAAATAAAGCGTTCAAAGTTACAGCCTTGGAAAAGGTACTTTACCACCAGTAAAATACTTCCCTCTCCTGTAAAACGCCAGGCCGCTCCCCGCCCCCGCCCCCCCCCCCGTCCTTCGTGGTTACATGTTTGCAGTGCAGGTGCTTGAACCGCGTCCGCACTTACAACTTGTTGCCAAGAGCCCCAGAATCGCCATTTGCAATCTCCTCTGTCGGCATCCCCGGAAATCAGTGAGGAAGCTGGCTGGGAAGGCTGCTACTGCTGCTGCCCGCCAAGAGGACTTTCCCCCTCCCCTGGTTTCTGGGGGCTGTCTAGAAGGGCTGCCTGCCGAGGGGAGCTGAACTTCCGTGGGGTGCAAGAAAGCAGCTCAGGTCCTGGCGACTGGAGCACCACCGTTTCTGGATCCTGCTGAAAAGTGGCTCCTTCCTCGCAGAGAGGGGAGCTGACATCCTTTGGCAGGCAGCTCTTTCGGGCAGCCCACAGAGATGAGCAGGAGCTGAAATCCCAGCAGTGCCATGAGGGAAGGGGTGCAGGTGGGGGAGGCCGGCACAGGCCAGGCTCGGGAGCTATTGCTCTATTGCTCAGGGGCTGAAAACCCTCCTTGGATTTTCACAGAGAAGATTTTCAGCCTTTGCTGAGCAAAGCCTCCCGGGGGTCTCCACCAACCCGCAAGGCGCCCGACTCTCCTTGCTGTATGTCTCGCTTCACTGCTTTGCTCAACGACTCTGTTGGGGTTGAAGTTGAATTGTGGTTATAAGTCAAGGACGGCATGTAAGAAGGGCTTCTTGCCGCTTGGAAGTGGCTCGAATCTCAGCACTGACAACTTAGTATTAGCTTTTTGGAATAGGTAAAAGAGGCACAAATGCACCCTATACCTCTAGCACCTGTAGCTGTTTCTCCTAATAACCCCTAGGGCCCTGTTGTCTTTGATATAAAAACCTCCCTGCATGTCCTGGTATTTCAGAGGCCCTGAAGAGGTTTGCCCGTCTGATGCGCTTCTTGGAACGAGGCACATCGCTGGACAGCCCAGCCTGACCTGCCATGAGAATCCCAGGCTGGGTTGCTTTACAATACCCAACATCCCCAGCCCAGAGGGGCTGAAGCTCAGCAATGCATGAGAGCCACCTGGCCCCAAGAAGGACAGCCTGCGGGCGGCGCTGCCCCAGGCTGACTGGGAGGACTTGGCCAAGAGGAAAGGAAGTGAGTCAGGAAGGAGACCCCGGCCAAAAGCCCCCCCAGCCCAGCCCAGCCCATCAAGCAAAGTATTCAAAACGGCCCCACTAAAGGGGAGGAGAGGGGTCCCCTACCAGTGGTTCTGGGAGTAAGGGGAGGGCGGGGAGCCTGGCAGGTTGGGATCCATGGGGTCAACGCAAAGGGCCGGACACCACTTAGCAACTGAAGAGCCAAGAACCACCTCTGCCAACCTCCCTGGTGCCAAAAGGGAAGGAAAGGCTCTCTTTGGCACCCCCAGATGGCAACGGGTTCACTTCACCCCCAATTTCAGCCTGCTTTATCTTCCTCCTCTGGAGGACAAGGAAGCCCTCGCCCCACGCCTGCTCGTTCCTGGCCCAGCCCCTCAGCCCCTTCCCCACTCCAGCTGCTGGGACACCATCGGCTCCTCCTCCGCTGCCCCCCCCACCGACCAGGACAAAGCGCCCCCCCCTCCCCCGGGAGCCCTTCGCTTCCAACCAGCCTCCACTTACTGGACCAGGTGCCTGATGAGCAGCTCGGACATCTCCCGGTTCTTCTCAGGGAGCTTATAGACCAGGCCGTGAATGGCTCCCAGCCGCTCATCCAGGTTCTCAGACTCTGCGGGGGGGAAGAGAGAAGCGTCACCTCCTTTCAGGCCCAGGTCAGATCCCTTCCGAACTTTGGGTCGCCTCCTTTCCTATATGGAGCCTGGGAAAGGACATCCCTGGGGTGAGGAAGCGCTGGGCCTCAAAAGGCAGGCGCTCTGGAGGGAACGCGGGGGGAGGGGGGAATTGGGGGCTCCAGGACGCTTAGACGACCCGCAGCCTGCAGGTTTTAGAAGCCTGGAAGTGACTGTTTGTTTCATAAATGTACATGCCACTCATCTCGCTGCACCAGGTAATTCTGGGTGGCTCACAATACAGTAAAAATAGAGGAAATAAACACATTAAAATTGAGATTAGCAACCATTAAATAACGAGTTAAGACCAAGGGAGGAAGCAGTTCTCACCGCTGGGGGTTGGATGTTGCACCGGGTGGGGGCCACGGCAGAGAAGGCCCTTCCTCTTGACTCCCCCAGCCAAAATTCCTGGGCTGAGGGGGGGGTCCCTAGGAGGCCCCTTTGGCTGGCGCAGGTGAGGCGAGGCAGGGCTAGACCACCTGGCCCCATGCCCCGAAGGGCTTTAACAGGAGTGATCAACGCCTTGAATTGGATCCAGAAGCAAACTGGATTTGATTTTTTTTTTAAATTGAATTTATTTGTTGCCCATCTCGCTTCAAAGCAACTTTGGGCAGTTTACAACATACAAGACATTGCAATCATGAAGTATAAAGTATAAATATGGCCTTGCCGGGGTTCAGCCTGTTGCCCCTCCCTGCCCCAGGCACCGCCAGAGGCCGGCCACAGCATCCTGTGGGCCGCCGGGGGAGAAGGAGAGTGGAGACCCACCAGTAATGACAGTGGCGACAGCTCAACCGCTGGGGCTGAAGGGTCTCCCCAGCAGCTTCAGGTGAATGTTAGGAAGGTGTGAGGAGGGCCCCGAGCCCCTCTTGTGGGGGATCCATGAAGGAGCGGCCCAGGCAAGCCCGCTCTCTCCCTGCCAGCACCCGTGGGGGCTCTCCTTGCGGAGAGGAGCCAAGCCAAGGCAAGGGTGGGTCACCCAGCCCAAGTCCTGCAGCTGGCCCACGGAGAGATTGGGGGGATGGAGGTGGCCGCCCCACCCCACCCCCCCTCTCACCAGGGATGGCCAACAAGGGCAACCCAGGCCGCTTCCATCCTGTAACCTGCCCTGAATCCTGACTGCTTCACCCAGGACCCTCCGACGCTGCCAGGCAAGCAGCTTTTCTATCCCCTTTCCTAAGGAGGGAAGATGGGGCACCGGGGCACTGCGAGAGGGCGGCCACCGCCCCCCTTCCCCTCCTGCACGAAGAGCCGGTCCCCGCTTGCGCCCATGGGAATGACGGGAGATGGGTTCCCAAACTCCAGGCGGCCCAGCAATCTTTTCGCTACCCCGAAGCCTCCGGCTCCAAGTTCCACTTCGCTCAAGGGGTTCCCGGAAGCAGTGAGAGCAGGGCAAGAGCCTTTCTCCAGAAGCCCCCCGCCCCCAATGCCCCCCTTGCCCAGGGGGACAGGAGCATCCTCCCACAGAGCACTGATGGGGAGAGGGGAAGGGCCCTTATTCTGAAGCCGCCTGGCATGGTGGCTGCTTCCTCTACGTCGCCCCAACCTTCGCTGCATTGTTTGATTTATGACACACAGATCCATACGTTGCCGCCATTGGAAGTCATTCTCCGTGGCATACGAACGTACGACAAACCTTATGTCAACCTGAAAAACCCAGGCCCTTCTGACCCAAGAGACCCCCGCTCTCTTCTCACAGAGGACGGAGAAATCAAGCTTCCCGGCTGTGGAGGAAGTTCAGGGGAAAACCGGGAAATAAAACGCCATAAAAGAGCAACTCGGAGGCGGGAATCCTCGGGGAGCTCATTAGCTCTGAAGCTCAAGCCAAGCCAGGGGACATGAATTGGTGATCACCACACTCAAACGGATTCGATTGCAGCCTGGAAATTCAAGGCGAATGAGGATGGGAGATAATCCTGGGCTGCATTATCTGGGCTGCTCCAATCGCGCACAGAACAATCCAATTTATCAGTTTGGAAAATAACGCTATCGGTCTCCGAGTGTCAGTACATTCATTCTAGGAAAGGCCTCCGTTTCTAAGACTGAAAGCCAAAATGCCCAGGACCCGCACTTTCTCCGTCTAAGGCCCCTCCCGCTGCAGAGGTTGCACAATGGACTAGACGGGGTCCGGGAGAGGCAAGATAAAAGAGAACCTCACACATGGGGGCAAGGAAGCTGGAGAAGGAACCATTCAGGGATCGCCACTTGAATTAGCAGATTAACAAAGGAGGCTGCTGCCCACCCCCCACCCCCACAATGTCTGCCGGTGGTTTCAGCGGGGAGAGGAGGGCGCAGTCAAAGCTCAGGGCTGTTTGGGAGGCAGCCATCTCGGCTCTGCACATTTCCCTCTGCAGACGTTCCAGTGTTGGCCTGCGAGTTCCCCTCATCAATATTCCAGGAAGAACCTGCCTGACGGTTTCCCAGATTTCACCACTAATTAACCGACACTGCTATTTCATGTTGGCATTTTAAGGTTTCTTCTATACGTTTCCATTTCCTTTTTGCCTCTACCTTGAGCACCGTTGGGAAGAGAGGCAAGACCCCACACAAGGCTCAAAGAAAGAGCTCAAAGCAAAAGAAAGCCGGTTTGCTCTCATGGTAAATTGGGGTTAAGCATTTGGTTTACTTATAGTTTAAACCAAATCTGTTGTTCCCTTATAGAAACTCACTTGAAATCAGAATTATTTACATTAACCGGGATGTAGCATCAACGGCAACAAGCCTCCATGGCCATATTGGGGTGGGCAACACATGCTCCGCGCAGGGCTCCCTTATCGGAAAGATTCTGCTTGTGCTAACCTAGCAAAAAGCAACTGGAAAGTTCACGCATCACATCAAGCCATAAAGCCGTGCTTATTTTGGTGCAACCACTGTGACCTAGCTTTGCACCCACTTGCACCTTCTAGCTCTTTAAGGGACTGTGGCTCAAAAACCCGGGCTTGGCACTTGGCACAAGCACAGCCACGAACCGGAAAGGCTGTTCCTGACTTTTGGGAGCCAAAGTCTCCCGGTGCTGCTGAAGAGAGGAGCAACGTGGCGTTGGTTGACAGCATCCGACGAAGATCTCACACTCCAGAAATGTATTTTTCACACCATCGGGAACGCAAACCGCAAAATCAGGAAACCCTCCACAACAGCCTCCCCTGCCCCCCGCCCCCCCCACAACAGAGACTTACTGGCAGCCAAGACCAATTCTTTGTGAAGCTTGTATGTCATGACAGGTTCCGAGAGGTTCCTGAAAAGAGAAGGACCAACAGTTCAAAGCCAGCAACAGCCAAGTGCCATTCAACAGGGGAAGAGTCCTGTGGTTGGGGGGCGGGGAGGGGGGGCACTTTATGTCTCCATTTGTTGCTAAAGTCTCTACTGTTCTGCTTACCTCACACGCCCAACGCTCTTCGCTGATGGCTGCCTCTGGCAGCAGCCCCTGATCTGGCTGGCGCAAGGGCTTCCTCCTCCTCTTGCCTCCCCTGACAAGCTTCAGTGGTGAGAGTTGGGGGCTTAGCTCCCCTCCCCTCCCCGAGACCAAAGGGAAGGCTTTGCTTCTGGGGCTTTTAGTTTCCGACGGCCGCCTGGGACGAGCAATGTAAAAGGGGCCACCAAGGGCCGGAGCCAAGACACCCATGTCCCGAAAAGTCTACGAAGGCACAGTCCCAATCACTCCATGGTAGATGATTACCCTCTCCGGGCACGGAGTCAGCGCATTGCCCACAACAACCTGGGCCTTCGTTTCACCGACCTCAGAGGGATGGAAGGCTGAGTCAAAACCTTGAGCCGGTCAGGATCGAACTCCTGGCAGAGGGCAGAGTCGGCCTGGAAGCTTGATTTCCTGCTTCGCTTCCTTTTTCTTTAACAATGGAGCACAATTAAAATACAACTTTAATCATCTACCGTGGAGTGACTGGGAAGAGGACAAGGTGGCCAGCATTGTGGACAGAGGGCCAGCAGCATTGGGTGCTTTTAGACAACTCTGGCACAGGGAATCCACAGGTCACTGGCTAAGCGGGCAGCACCAGGAGAGTACCGTCCACCTGGGCCATGAGATCCTCCTAGGATCCGGAACAACGGGCGCCGTTATCTGGTAGGCGCAAAGAAGTTTGAACCCACCTCAGGTAGAATTTCAAGGAACTCGTAATCGTCTTGATGTCCCAGTCGCTGCTCTGGAAATCCACATCCCCAGGGCACTTAGGATCTTGAGCAGGAGGGAGAAGCGGAAAAAGACGACTTAGATTAATTATGCATGCCTGTACGCTTAGCACTTTGCTGTAAGGAAATAGAGGAACCTTTGTGCAAATCCAACAAGACAAAAGGCAAATCCCAAAGCACTGGAGAGGCAGTCCACCACCTGCGGACAAAATTCCTACCCGAAGGGGACTCACACCCCAGTTTCGAAGTTCCGACAATAGTCCCCCCGCCCTGAGGTCACGTGACCGCACTTTGGGTGCTGGGCAAAGCTGCTGCAAAACGGGGTCAGGTGGCTGCAGGAGGCGGCCGATGGCTGTGAGCGCTAAATGCTGGAGGGCTCCCAGAAGCCCCGGTCCAGGCCCTGGGGAGCCCCAGGGCAGCAGTTGCCAAGCAGCCCGCCTCCAAGACCACCCACCAGCCTAGAACCAAGGCCAGGAGAGAGTCTAGGGTAGGCCAAGCAAGGATGGAAACAATGCAGGGTTTCCCAGAGGCCACCATGGGTTTACCTGGGACTTTTCCCATCCCGTCGCCTTCCCGTGACTTTTGATTTATTTCTCATTAAATTGCCAAGGATGCGATCAATGTATTTTGATTCAGAGAAACATTGTTAAGGAAATACCCTATTTCTGATTTTAGCAAATCGTTTAAGCCTGATAATTAAGGGGCCACGTGGAGTGTGGAAATAAATGTTCAGTCGCGGCTGGTCGGTGCTTCCTCATCCATGTGGGATGCAGTCATGGATGAGGCCACGAAGTTTAAGCATTGATTCCATGTGCTTCGACATGTTGATTGATCAGGTGGATGAAACTGAAGGGAAGTTTATCAGATTTGGCCTTTTCAGTCCTTACCGAATGATAACAAAACTGGGTAGAAAGGTGGAACGTAGGTCAGCGGTTCAAAGGGTGAAGCTCACGAAGTCAAATAAATGCATATGGTAAAATTTCTCTTTTTTACTCCTCTGGCAGTTCTTCCGCTTCTGTTGCCTGCCCAACTGTCTGCAGCCTTTCATCATTTTTACTGGCTTTCCCCTCAGTCCCAGAAACCTAACTGGGTCCTCCGGCTCCAAGCCTGAGCAGCTGTGATTGCGAGCTGCCATTTTTCACATTTATATACTTGTCAAATCAACCATCGGTTTTCCAGCTATTTAATCTCTACCAAACTCTCCTCTCCAAAGCTGTTTCTTTCCCTCTCTGCGCTCCTATTTCCCCTTCGCTTGCCCCAGATTGTAAATCTCCATATTCAGCCTAAAAAAAAAAATAAAAGAAAACAAGCCCGGAGGATTTATTTTCATTTGGCAAATTGTTTTGGTTGCGCTAGCAAGTAACAGTGATAGTTCACCATTGCATCTGACTAACCGAAAGGAGTGAAAAGTTGGAAGGTTTGGATTTACGTATTTCAGGTAGTCCATCGGCTTCTGCAAAATTCAAAGCTGATCAATACATTTTTACGAATACAAATCTTCACTCTTTTCTGCTTATCCTAATTCTCCAGTGCAAAAACCCAGAGGTTCAACAGTGCAGGGATGCGGGATGGCAGAGTGGCAGATCCTTCCCTCCCTCCCTCCCTGCAAGTTAAATCGTGGTAGGTTTCTCTGGTAATGAAATGCCTGCAGGAAACAAGCAAGGGCACCGCAGTTCCACTCTCAGCTCTGCCCAGTTTCTCTTCGCTTGAAACTGGTTCTGGCCCACAACGCTGTGAGCCTGTTCAAGGGGGCAAAATGTGTCCCGCAGAGGTTGCATCCAGCCGGTACCTTTGCCTGCCAACCATCACCGCATGAGGCTGCAGGGCCCCCTCAGGAGCGTCCGCCATCACCCTGGGTTGGAAAGGAAGCCCCTGAAGGGCCCGATCCCGCCAGGGCCTCACAAACCCTCCCGGATGTTGCTGGGTGATGGGGAGCGAAGCACCCGCAGCGCCTCAGCTTGCATGGCCCCAAGGGGCACACGGGGAAACCCTCGACCACAGCCACAGCCGGGACGAGCATCCGTAAGCGAGGGCAGGGCTAAGTGAGCCACACCCGATTTCATGACCGACTGCCGTGGCTGTTAAGCAAATTGCTTAGAATCGTGCAGTCATTAAGTGAATCTAGTTCTCCCCATTGATGGCGCTGGCAGGTGGCGATCCTGGGACTCCACCCCCGGGAGACGGCCTCCCTCATAGACACACACGGCAAGCGCCTGGATTCTGAGGCTGCTGTGACGGTCGCAAGTGTGAGGACCAGCCATAAGCCTCTTTCTTCAGGGATGCTGTAACTTCAAACTAAACAAAGGGGTACTTGCAGTAAAAGACCACCAGGCCTGCCCTCCCTCCCTCCCTCCCCACCCCGAGTCTAGTTCTCCACGGTCTGGAAGGCGGCCGTGCTAGTAAGAGCTGCTCTAGTGTAACTGTTGCGCTAGCTTAATTCCCATGCCAACGATGGTCACAGACCGTTCGGCCGATTGAAAAAGAGCAGGTGTCCCAATGGACGGTGGCGGCAGGCTTCCCTCCCTGGCGATGCCTTTTGGGCAGCCTCTGATCGTGGCCTGCTCCTTACCAAAGAAGGCGTTCAAGAGCTTCTGCACTTGGATGTTGCTCCCGACGGTGCGGTAGACCCCTTCTGTGGCAATTCCTGAACGGAAAGGGGAGGAAAATAAAAAAAGCAAGAAGGCACTCAGATCGTTCATCCCAGCCAAACAAAGTACTGAGATTGGAGGAAGCTCACTAGTGCCACCTTATGCCATCATTAAGTGGCGGGGGAATCATTTTTCAAAGGCATTTTGTAACCAACTCTGGAATAATTTAAAATGGAAAAGAACCCAGAGCCTGCAGCCCTCTTTAAAATGATTTATTAGAACACAGCGATTCTCAAAAAAAGGCCTCGGGGGAAATTGCCTGCAGTCGTGCCGTGCGAGCTCAGGCAGGTAGGACAGCCGTGCGGAGCGGCCCAAGTGGGGACTCTCTCACTCCAGGAAGATGCTCATCCGAGGAAAAGCAGCTCCCAGCACTTCCAAAGCCCCCGCATCTTCTCCTCCCTTGTAGACAGCTACTCCCTGAAGTAATGGGGCCACAACCCTCCCTCCCCCGAGAATTCCTCCTGGGCCTCTTTTGTGGCAGGAAGGTTCATCCTTCATGGTTGATGACCTTCGTCCGCCTGGGGGTCTCGGCACGCATGCAGGCTGCCATGTTCAACCATGAGGTGCGCCTGGCCGCATCAAACACAATCTAGGCTGCCTTCTAATTGAAGGTCCCCAAAATATTCCAGCCAAAGGATTTGCAAGGATACTCAAAGCAAGCCATGACAACATCTAAAGCAAATTGATACTGCTGAAGTTCTTGCCTTCATTTTGTTCCATTGTTGGCCACTTTGTTAGGTTTTCTGCCAGAAACACTCTGCTGTCTGGGATTTTAAGTGTTGTCTGAAGAACGAGCTGAACAGAACCCATTTATTTCCGTGGCACTTTTATGATACGGCTTCTTAAAGCCAGAAACGGAAGACCCACCCATCCTTCTCTGCTCTTCTTTATTGTTTCATGCTGGAATATTAGCCAGCCTGAATTTTCCTCTGAGCGGTTCAGAAGTATATTTAACTCCTTTCCCAGTTCTTCTGAAATTGTACACAAGGTCATCCTTATATAACAGTTTTCCACTCTTCTTTATAGCAGGTATCAAATATTTACTTTAAATGCTTCTAAAATCGCGTGTCATCTTTTCAACTGTTGTTTACAAGGGGTAACAAAAATGGGCATCTCCACTAAACTGCATCTTGCTGTGGACATGTTGGCTTAATTTAGCGATTTAAAGAAGAAAGTTAAAACTACTTTCGGGTGAAACTTGCAAACGCCGCAATGCTGTCCTAGAACCAAAGAGCTCCTCAGATCCCACCCACTCAGCTGGAGAAATTGTCTTTGGGAGCACCAGATCATCCCTTCAGGCCTCTCCAGGCTCCATCGCCGGCCTTTCTGAACAGATATCCTGCCCACCAAAAAGCCTCCATCAGAATAACGGAGGAAAGGCAGGACAGGAGAAGGCTGGGATCCAGAGGATGTCCCACGTAGCCTTCGTAGCTTTTTGCCACGTCCTCCAAAGATTTTTTTTTTTTGGGGGGGGGGGGAGGCTTAGAAAAACGAGTTGATTGGCCTCAAACAGCGTTTCTCAATTTTGGCAACTTTAAAAGGCTGTTTAGACTATTCCGCCCCCCCCAACCTGGACAACTCTGTATGGACATCTGGGAAAATTCTGGGAATTGAAATCCAGAGATCTGAAAGTTGTCCAGGTTGGGTGGGTGGGGGTGGAGCAATGACCTAAACAGTCTCTTGAAGCTGTGTGTGTGGGGGGGGCAGCAAGGTCATCAAGAGGGATTCCCTTTTGCTCCCCCCGTGGAAAGGGGCAAGTGCAAGAGACAAATGGGGTGTGGGGGGGCGCTCCGTCCTTCAAGGACTGCGGTTCCAGGCCAGCATTGCTCAGCCAGACGTGCCTCCCCCCTCTAGCAGAAATCCAGGGTCCTGCCCTAGTTCAACAGGACGGGCCACGTGCTACCTACCCCCTTACCATTTGTCTCGACTGCATTGATGCATTTCCGGACAAATCGGAAGCCGATCTCGTTCAGTTCCACTGTCGGGAAAAAAAAAACCAAAGCAAAAGTCAGATTCTCCCTCGGGCAGCCTCCAGGAAAGCAAGTTAAGAACATGTTTATTTTTCTCCCCCGGAAGACACGATGCTGATTTTATGCAGCCGGCACCTGCTTACACCTTGCGGGCAAGAGAGGCTCCCATTGGTACCAACTGAGGGTGAACTATGGCCCTTCTCCAGGTATTACAGCCAGGCCCAAATCTGTGGGGCGTTAAAAAAACGCTGCCGGTCAGAGCAAGCACCGTAAAGCATGCTGGGCTAAGAACCTGGCCTATTCGGAGTGCTGGTGGCTCCCTGCATGCAAGGAGGAAGCAGCTGATTCCAGATCCCGCCAGACAAAACGCCTTTTAGGAATTCCAACCCCAGCCCTGCTCTGCAAACGTGGTGGGATAAGAAACGAGCCAAGCTCAGTAGAACGGAGAGGGAAGTCTGCACTGTATTTGGACTTCTCGGATTAGATTTAAGGTACAATGGTTTTATACCGGCCTTTTGTGGTATATAAGTGGTCTGCCCACGTGTTGAACTGCAATTCCTGCAAGTCCTTCACTAAGTGGACTGGGGAGGAGGTGGGTGGGAGGAGACTGGGAGAACTGGAGGTGCATAATGCGGGTGGGGGCAGGTGGGACCATGAGAATTCAGACCAACTCTATTTTCTCCCCATAAAGCCCCTTTCCTTACTGAAGTCGGTTTGGACTCCGTGTGTCACATGCAGGAGGAATACAGGTGCTAATTAAAATATTCCTATAGAGGACATTATTGGTGTTGGGCAACAGAGTTAATAAATTGGGGCTGAAACCCCCTCCAGCACGGAGGCCCAGCTGTCCGGTGGGCCTGCCCCAAGGGAAGGGGGAATGCCTTGGGCTGCATATAAACGATAGGATAGAGTCAATGCATATCAATCCCAGGTTGGACGTGGCTTTGCGCATCTCCTGGCTACCTAGGTTTTTTTTCCCAGCCCTCATCGAGCGGCTGTAATGAACATTTCCAATTAACTATTTGGGGGATTTTTATTTTAAGAACAAATGTTTAAGCTGAGTTCATTCAGGCATGGATCCCGCAGAAAGGAAGGAGCTGAAGTGGGCAACCTCCGGGCTGCACTCTTACGACCTCCTTGCATTTTACTACTCCAAGTCACCTTCGTGGAGAAAGGGTTGGCGCAAAACGTCTTTCCGGGACTGAGAAGGGCTGGATTTGAAGCGTCAAGCGAAAGAGGAGCACTGCGGCTCTGCCTCTTTTCTAAGGCTTCCCTGCAGCCGAGCAATGACCGGCTTTTCCAAAAACATCCGCAGTCTGGAGGGGAACTGTATGGCTCTCATCAAAAAGTTATGAAGCTGCTGAAGAAAACCCCAAGATATTTGTAGCTGAAACTTGGAAACGGGGCAAGACAATGTGACCCTTTCAGAAACCAAAGGCTGCGAATTGTCTGCGGCTGGATGGGCTCTGGAAGCCTATTCAAAACGGTGACCCTGAAGTCAGAGCAATATGGAAGGACACGAAAGGGGGATCCTTCCCCCCACCAAAAAGGCAAGACACCCCCCCCCCTTTTTTTTTTGTTTTTAAAGGAGGTTCATTGTCTGGAACCTTTTACATTTCCTGAGCCTGGAAACGTTGCTGCTCATTCCCACTTTAAAGTTTGGTTGCAAAACCTGGAGATGTCACCAGCAGGGGGCAGCAAGGGGCGCTCTCGGAAACAGAGCGGCTCCCTTTGGCATCCCCAGTGCTGGGAAAAGCCCGCGAATACTCACTTTCCTCCTGCTTGGTGATGGGACTGTGGTAGATCTAAAGAGGGGAGGGCAGGGAGGGGTCAATAAGGATCAACAGAAAGCACAACAGGACAAATGAATGGGGGGGGGGGGGGGGGGGGGGGGGGGGGGGGGGGGGGGGGGGGGGAGAGAGAGAGAGAGAGAGAGAGAGAGAGAGAGAGAGAGAGAGAGAAAGGAAACAGAGATAACGTCATTTGAAAATAAGCCCTTGGGTTAGTTTTCATCTTTGCAAAGTCTTTGCCAAGTTGCACATTACAGTGAAAGGCTTTAAATGCTTAAGATGGAAAAAAAAGGCACCCTGGACACACACACACACACACACACACACACGTGTGTCTGTGTCTGTGTGTGTGTGTGTGTGTGTGTGTGTGCGCGTGTGCTGGGAAGGGCCTGTTCCTCATATGAATTGGCCCAGCTCTGCCTTCCATTTTTTCCTCTGTGGGTCTCTAGCCTAGTGGGGAGGGGGCTTCCTACCGCTCCCACCCTTCCAGGTCTTCCATTCCAGCTTCCCCTGGAAGGCCTCCTGCTCCAGCCTCCCTGCCCAGGCACAGGGCAGCACCCCAGGAGAAGAGCCGTTGCTCCCCAAAGCAGCGCTTGCTTCTGGGCAGCACCCCTGCCAGTGGGCCTGAGGAGGAGGAGGAGACGGTCCCTTCCGTTTCCCAGAATGCTCTGCTGCAGCTGCCATACCTGGAATCCACCAGGCCCGAGAAGAGGCTGCAAACCAGCAGGACCTTGGGGGCAGCATCCACTTGGGTGCTGGCGCAGGAGTCCTCCCCCCACTTTCCCTAGCAGGTCAGACCTGGTGTTGGACAACAGCAATCTTTCTTCCTCACACCCTCCTGGGAGCCTGGCTTCTCATCTCCGGTATCAGGCGAGCATAATTTATGCGCCAGGATTCAAGGTTTAGAGTCTCTGATGATTTACTCAGTTGCTGCAAAGAATCTAAGCAAAACCAGGAGTAATTTTTTGCAGAGATTCAAGTTACCTCAAAAATCATAGGAACAGCATCCTATTTTAGGGAAGTATCTCTAGCAAACTGTGTTCAGAAAAAATTTGCAGAGGACTTTTTCAGAAGTCACAACGTGCGTTTCAAATGTGCTTTAATATGCCAATAATAAATGTCGTAATTTACTGTAATCGAAAACTCCATTAATTCAGAACTCTGTTTATTATGCAGATGATCAACATAATGAACAAAAATGAAGATGCTTCCAACTTTCAGTTATGAACTTTATTATGAATTTTAGCCCACTTTCCACCAAGAGTCCAAAATAAAGCAATATAATAAAACCAAATGGCTAAAGTCACCAAGTTCACTCAAACACAACCAGGAGAGCGAATTTCTCAGCCACGGGGGACTCCTTAAGGGCATGTAGGACCCCCTCAAGCGCCAACGGGCTCTGCTGCAACAGGGGGCGTCTCAAGGGAAACGGGGGCTGCTTAGGGGGCAAACATGCTCTGTTCCTTTCGGCGGCGGCTGAAACTCCAAACCATGTTTATAATCCTGTCCAATTTTATTTGGCCTTTAGCAGAAACCTTCAGGGGCTCCACCATCCTTCCCAACACGGGAGCCGAAACCTTTCCTGTAACATCGGTTTTAACGTTGGGGGGTTTTAATATCTGGTTTCCATTCTCGGGTGCCTTGGAAAGGGAGGGCGCTCCGTGTTCTGGCTGAGTTCGTTGGCTTTAATTCCCTGCACCTCCCGCCAGGGCGCTAACAGCCAGCCAGGCCAGGCCAGGGGGAATGGGGGGAACTGCAGCTGTCTGGGGAGGGGCAGGCCTGGGGCTAAGCTGGGGTGGTGGGCATTCAAGGGGAAGCTCCCACCTGGCAGGCTGAGCCCTTGAGGCTGGGAAGGCGGCTGGGTTTCCTTTGCAGCCTCTCCCATCGGGCTCAGCTGGAAGTCAGGCTACCCTGTTCTCCTCTAGAGGCCATGCCAGAAATTGGATAGAACAATGCAAAGGCTAAAAAGACAAAATGTGAAAAGTTGCCAGGACATTCATGGGCGTCTTAAAAAGTCTTAACTCAATTCAACTCAATTATCCTTTTTTTTTGGCGGGGGGTGGTCTGCGAAGGGCTTCTCAGGGCGCCTGGGGTCCTAAGGAGCCAGCTGCTCCCTTGACCCCACCGGACTTCACTGGTGTCCAGCTTCATTCAGAAGGGCTTTGCTTCGTAATGGATGTCCACTGGATGACCCCAACTCCAGGCTGAAAACGAGTCCCAAGGGCCCCTTTTAACTATGCCAAGGGGTATTTTTTTTAATTTTTTAAAAAAAGAATCGGCTAAAAACACACTTTGTGGAGAGTTTGCCAGTCTGGAACCACCCCTTGAAAGCTCCCCATTCTGGGAGGAGGAAAAGGACCAGCCTTTGCTCCGGCCAGGAGCCGCCCGCCATACCTACCGGCTCCTTCCCGTCCATGGCCTCCATCCAGAGACGCCGGTTGGCTTCCGAGGGAGCTTGTAAGGTGATGGGACCAGACCTGCATAACATTCAGCAAGGGGGACAAGAAAGAAAAACTGACAACCCATTGATAAAAAAGGTCCCAAACTTCATAGAATATTTAGAACTTTAGGAAATAATGAATACATATTTCTTTTTTTTTTCTTTGATACTATCTTTATAAAATTTTATTAAGATAGACTTGGTAGGACTTGATGATTCGCTATAAAATAAATTAAGTAAACTATAGTTATCTCATTAAAGTATGAATCAATAAAATTATAGTCAAATGATTGTTTAATAATGATATCAGGCTATATAATTGTTGATTGACAATAGGAGCTATTAGGTAATATAACTACAATAGAGGCTATGAAATGGATGCACAAAAAAAAGTGGTAAACCGACCGATACACTGTCTGTAAACTCATGAAGGAAAGGATGACGTTTTTATGTTTTATGTGTTTTTGTTTGTTGTTAAAATTAATAAAACTGTTTTCAAAAAAATATAAAAAAATAAATAAATATATATATATATATATATATAAAAAATATTAAAAAAAAGAAATACAAAATAAAAGAAAGAAAGAAAAACTGACAGCCAACTCAAACATCGCTTTTTCTTTTTCTTACAACTCCCAAAACCCAACTGAAAGATAAAACAAGGGAGGCTCTAGGAAGGCCCCACGCTGAGAAAAACAGGCAGGCTTCCTTCACGCTCTCCGGTATTCTAATGCTTCCATTTTTAGCAGTTGGAGGTAAGTATTTGTTCTTTCCGAGGAATGATTGTTCCCCCTGTTATAGCAGATCAGTGCTTCTCAAATTGAACTACTTCTCGATACATGGGTTTTATCTCTCGCAAGCTCAGCCATGGCCAGGCTCTGGGGGCTGAAATGCACAGATCTGGACGTGGCTCAGCTGCAAATGAAACCAGAGGAAATGGGTCAATCTCCGGTTTGATCACGAGAACCTCTTGGACTAAGGGCCAGGCACCTATTTTAGCTCAATCTGAAACTGAAAACAAACGTGTAGCCTATTCAAAGAAATGTACTGAATTGATCAAATCGTTTCTACATATTTCTTTCTGTACTTTAACCCGTTTTCCTATCCATCTCCCCTTTTTCTTTCAACGTATATTTTATCATCATCCTCACTGCCATGACTTCATCGAGCAGCTCTGGGTTTTTAACCCGCCATCCAACCTGGATGCCAACAACAGCTCAGAGGGAACCGACCTCCCTACTGCCATCGTATCTGAGCAGAGCCTCTCGAAATGCCCCATCAACTCAGAAAGCACCAGTTTGAGTGGTTTTAGGAAACCCTTCCAAAAAGGAGAATAGCATTCCCACTCATCTGAGTGAGGAAATGCTTTCACCCCTTCGTTACAGCTTATTTTCATCTGCACAATCTTTAAAGAAGAGCCATCCAATATTTCACCGGGACCGAAGCTGCCAATCGTTTAGCTCACCTTTCAACTGTCTCAATGTCGAAACAAAACCTTTTGTCGATGGAGTCTGTCTTCCTTCGCACGCAGGACTTCAGAATCAAGTGTACAGTGGTGCCCTGAGAGGAACAGAACGCGACACTTAAAAGAAGTACCAACCACAGGCCAGGTGGCGCTTCCAGAAACACGCATCAAGCGTCTCAGCCAGCCAACCGTTGCAAGGGGACAGCACAACTTCGTCTCAGTCTGATCTCGGCCAATGAAGCTCAAGACCAGGAACCGACATTTCTTCCTCGCAGGGAAGCACGCGGGACAGAGCAGCCTGCCCGATGCGGCCACCGCAGCCCTTCTCAGCTGGACTCCTGGCCAGCCTTCATTCCTCTGCCAGGAGCCCCCAGCAGTCACCGTGGGGCCTTGGTCCTGCCACTGGCTTGAAGGAGCAGCCTCCGTTCTGCTAGCTGGGACCCTCCTTGATGGGGTTGGGCTGGGCCGCTGGGCAGGCCCTGAGAAAGCACCCCAGGGCAGGTGTGAAGGGGGACACGGGGCAGCGGCACCTGGGGAAGGGGGGCACCTGACAGGTGGGGAAACGGAGGAGGGAGTTCAGGGCAGCAGCCGGCCTTCTGGGCCGGGAGGGTCATTCTGCAGTTCATTTCTTTGTCAGGTATGAGTCATACCCAGTGGATCTGCAAACGGTACTAAGAGAGGAAAGGGGGAACTGGGTGGGAGGAAGTGGGGGGAAGGCGGCTGGGTGGCCCTGGGCTCTGGCAATGGCGGTGATGGGCCTCCTGACCTTGCCACTCTCCTTCCAAAAGCCCTGATCCGAGGAGCAGAAATTGACCAGGTCGGATGCACCAAGATGGGCAAGAGGCCTGGAGTGGAAAGTGACAGGAGCGGGAGGTCCTTTGTCATCCTTGGCTTGGCTTGGCCTCCTCTCTGCCGGTCGATGGAGTCCGTCTTCCTTCGCACGCAGGACTTCAGAACTGCAGGACCGTGCCTTGAACCGGGAGGCCTACAGCTTCTTCTGGCCACGCCCATGGGCTCATTCACAGCCGCGTAGGCACCCTCGCTGGAGGGCTGGAGCCAGGGGTTGCAGGGATCGGGGCGGGGGGCTGTTCATGATTCTTCTGACAAATGGCACAATGCACATCCGACACACAAAAAAGAATTTCCATTCGGTTAAGAAAAGGTTCCCCCAAACTGATGCCTTGTAACTCTTACTATCGCCAGCCTGCCTGTAAACACTCTGAAACTAGTTACATCCCTCGGTGAAGATCGCAAACAAATGAATAGAACCAAGTGCATCTCAGCTGGAAAGCAGGAAGTTACAGCGGACACGGGAAGCCACAAGCTGCCGTTTGAGCCCAGCGTCCGTGAAGGGCTACCAAAGGGGCGCAGAGGTTCCGCCCAGTTTCCCACCATTGATGCAAGGCACTACTCACTTGTTTCGCTCCTGGTTTCTGCTCCATGGGTGTCATTCTTAACATCTTTGTTTCCTTCTCGTACTGGCAGTAGTACTTGACCCAGGAGATTCCCAGGGCCCCTACATCAAGTCAAGAGAGGAATTAATACCCAAGACACACACACACACACACACATCCGTTCTCCACGGCCAAAGACCTGCAGTATCTAATGCAAGCATCTCAAACGCTGCCTGGGTCTCCAGCACTAAAGACAAGACAAATGGCAGGTAGGCCTCTCTCACTTCTCCAGGTGGGAGATTAAAAAACCAACGCCACAGGCTAGCTATCGCATCCTGGCCCTTGCCGACTTCTCTCGGCTCCAAATATGAGAGAACTTGACTCGATTCCTTGATTTCGGTCCTGGTTACAATGTTGAGTTTAACTAACGGCATGGCCTCTGTTCTCATGGATTAACACTCATGATATTCTTATTAGCAGAATGAGGACAACTGGTCTAGATGACGCCACTATCAGACAACCCCACAGAAGGACGACTACTATGCCCAAAGAGAGCTTGTGGGTGAAGGCCACACCTGGGCCCAGCACTGCTCGACATTTCTATTCATGACCAGGAGAGGAGTTGACGTTTAACATGGACAATGACAATTCACAGAGCTCAAGAAAGCTAATCTAGAATTGAATACTCTGGAGTGCATTCCCTTATTATTATACAGGTAGCGTATGCAGAGAAACCTTTACCTAGTTTACTAAGGCCTTATTCATCCTACATCCTGGATAAACAAGAAGGCCTTCCAAAAGATATCTGAATACAGGAGCGTCTAAGCTCGAACTGATATGCTGAAGGATCTCAATAGACAGATAGTAACTGTCCATTTCAAAATACTATATTGAAATTCTGCACTGTAGGGATGGCACAGACTGGGCCAATCTCTCTCTCTCTCAGCCCAGCCCACTCACAAGGTTGCACTAGTGGTGGAATACGTGGCAGGAAGATTAGGTAGGTTTGTCATCTTGAGTTGACATTTTACACACACACAAACACACACAAAAATACAGGTGGGATAAAAATATGATAATAACAAGAACAACAACAAGAAGGCAGAAGATGAAAGGAACTGCTGGAACATCTAAGAAATATGGCAGGCAACACAAATCAGTGGCATTCTAGCCACGTTAGGCCAACACGAAGACATTTTGCGGGAGGAATATTGTGAGAAACCCTGGAGAATTCAGCACGGGCAACACAGCCCACTAGGGGCTACAGGAAACGTTCCCATTGGCAAAAGCAAGGCACCTCTTCTTGAAGGGTCTACTTCCCCAGGTGGGTCTCCCACAGCCGCTTCCTTTGGCCGCCATCCCAGGTGCAGCCTTCCCGGGAAAGCTTGTGAAGACCCTGGGCCAACCCTTCCGGGGCAAGTGCTTCGAGAGAGAAGCCCCCTCTGAATGAGCTCCATTCAATGGGCCGCCCTGCCAGATCCCAAGCAGAGGGAGTTGAGCCTGGGGAGGCACGGGGACTCCTCCAATTCCCATGGTTTACAATCTACCCTTGGGATTATTCGTTTAGTGGCCACGTCTATTTATGACAGTTTCACCCTCCTGGGGTCACAAGATTGCCATTTGCCATCTTCCCACCCAAGGAGCAAAGTCAGTGGCGGAAGTGGGAAAAAAGGTCGTAAAATCAAGCATCACCTGAGAGTCAGATCGCTTTGGATCAAGAACTCTGGTCCTAACAGCGGCCTAATTTGAGGACTATCCATAACACGGGGAAGCAGGGAACGATTCCATTTTAATTTCTCCTCGCTTTCCTTGGTAATTTATTTTGAAAGGAATGGTGAGGATTCTAGCGAAATCCCCATAAATGGTGCAAGTGGTCCTCTATTTGGACAGGAGCGTCAGGGGAGAAGGAGAACGGGGTGCTTGGGGGCAGGACCCGAAGGAGTGCAAGATGGAGAGCAGAACGGATGTCCTCACCATCATCATGGCTTGAAGGTTTGAACTGGGCAAGTCAAGGCCCCAACCTCCCAGGTTCATTTTTGAATTGTTTCCTTTCCTCCTCCCTCCAATTTTTCATCATCGTTTCAATTAGTTTTAGGCCAAGGCTTGACCAACAGGTGTACCTGGAGAGGACTGGGCACGGGGACCTTCCGTTGACTGCCAGGAGGCAGCGGAAGAGCAGCGGCCACTTATTTCCAAGACCTTCAATCCAAGGCATCTTTTAGCCATAGCCACAAGGAGAGACTCTCTCGTTTCCACTCTACAGCTTTCTAGATTCTGCTCTGCGTAACCTTCTTCGGAAAAGCAACTCTGCCTCTTACATTTTTCTTGTGAATAGAGGTATCCCTCGATGGTTGGCTTGCCAGGTAGTTTGCAGGTCAGTGGAGCTTCTTTCATTCTTTTCTTGAGGTCCTCCAGCTCTTCACGAGTGCTGTTGAAATGATTCCTTGTCTATTGAGCAACGGGAGAAAAGACACCATTCGTATTTGGGAGGCAAAACCCTTGTGGTCAGGCAGCCAGTGGGATACCTCAACCGTCTGCCACGAAAGAGCCGGAGAAGGCGGCTAATCTTGGTGGACCAGCCTAGCAACCATTCTAAGCAGAGGCTGGCCAGGTGAGCGCGGGGACTTTGCAGAGATATGCAGGAAGCAAAGGTGAGTAACGCTTTCTAAGATCACCAGGGCTGTTTTGAGAATGAGCCTCCAGAGAGACCAGTGGAAGAGCCGGCTTTTCATCCTGGAGTTTTAATATAAGTGGAGGGTAATCACAGGGGTTCAAAGGTTTAACCAAAGGGGTAATTCTTAAACAACCAGGCATACTTTTTGCATCCTGCCTTTACGCTGCTTAGGGATGGTGGTTTGTTTTCCCCAGGACTAAACAAAAGAAAACCTTTGCACAATTGGGAAGAATGTTTATCCAAAGAGGCTCAACGTATTTGATTTGCAACACACAGTTTGCCCTTCCCTGGAGCCTGGGGGAAGAGGATAGAGCCTGGGTTCACGGCTGTTCTGAAACCGGGCTCTCTCGTTTGAGGGATGGCATGTCTCCCGCTCCCGAGGCCCGGACACCCACCAGCTTCCCCTGAAGGAGGCGGCGTAGAACCAACGCAGCCAGATTTCCTCTCTGGGCAGCCATTTCTCCCTCCCCCAGGTTGGAGAAAGGGAGGAACAGGCCCCGCTCAGCACCTGGACGGGCCCTCTGATCAATTTTTCCCTCTTCCAGGGAAGGCAAGTGCTGCAGTGGGGATCCCTGCCAACGTAGATCTGGTGACCTTGGCTGACCAAGAGACACCCCTTGGCTGCCTCCACCACCCTTGGGGAAGGCCCAGGATATCTCAGGGTGGTTCTGGCAGACAAATTCATCAGGCCCCGTGGATCAATCTAGGCCACAGGTTGGGGTTTCTCAGACATCCCTGTCTCAGGTTAAAAAAAAGGTTGAAAACAGGACCAAGTACTCCTCTGGGCATCACCGATTCCTTGTGGGTTGTTTTTTTTTAAAGTGAGTTAAAATGTATGTGCCTAAGCGTAAAAGTCAGTGGTGAGAATAAGAGTGTCACTAAGAATGGCTGCTTCTCCACTTAAACAGAAGAGGAGGGAAGACACTGGGGATATTGGCAATTCACTTACATTTTGCAAACTGAGCTGAAGCTGTTGCTTGTACGGAAGGAAATCTTGCGTGAGCTCCACCGTCAGGTTGTTGTAAGTGAAGAGGCTATGAAGAAAAGCCAACACCTGTGCAGGGAAGAATGATAGTATTTTAAAAATTGTACAGGCAAAAGCCATGGACCATGCCAAAAATGGAACTGGGCCTCTAGAGGAGGAACATGCTGCTAAATTGGACCTGATTTCAACACTGGCCAAGCGGGGCTGGTGGGCCTCACAGGCGCCCGACAAATTAAAGATTCTGACCAGGTTCACACCCGAAGAGGAAACATAAGCAACTAATGTTCACCTACTGTACTCTTCCTCACTAAATGCATCTACAATTGTGTGGAATAGATTTTTCCCTTTAATTCTGCATAATTTATTATACATTTTCTCTAAGTCAAGGACAACAATGTTTGAATACATAATAGTAGTGGTAGATATGGACCAAAAAAATTTAAGCCCTCTTTTGCAACTTTTCTTATTTAGACTTAAGTTTATAAAGTTTATAGAGAATACAGAACCAATTTTCTACTACTTCTAAATGGAGTGGAACTATTTATTTCTGTGTGAAACTCTGCACATTTTAGTTTCCGGCTTTTGATCACTTTACAGCCAAGAGAAACTCTCAATTTCTATTAACAGCAAAATGAAATAGATTATTGAGGGCCAATTTCACCTTCATAAAAAAAAAACTATTTACTTTTTTCACCTTTCCTTTCCTTTCCTTTCTCTTTAAGAATAAAAGCATTACAAACACTGTAAAGGCTTACACTAAAGAGCAAGACCGGGTCTTCTACTTATGACCAGATACTGTTCAAAATTATGACAGACCACCCCAAAGGTACTTATCAGCCACTTCTGAAGTTCCAATACAACTTTTAAAAGATTATAAAATCTAGCCAGTCATGTGTTGACAACTGTTGTAATTTTTGGCCATGATGGGTAGACTCCTTTGGGGCCCTAAGCCAAGGACTGCCCTTAGAACGTAGCCTCTCAATTACAGAATATCTCTCTTCCCTTTAAACTGGGATCAGATAAAAGGCTGGTGTGTGTGTGTGTGTGTGTGTGTGTGTGTGTGTGTGTGTGTGTGTGTGTCAGACTTACAGGCTCCACAATACTGAATTTCTTGCTCTCTTGCACTTCTTGGATTTGGTAAACATATTCCAGGGAAGATTCAAAAAAAACGTGTCGCTCTTTATCAACCAGCAAATCAGCCTGAAGAGAAAAAAAGAAAAAATAAATAAATGCTACACAATTGTCCTGCTGAAATTAAGGAAGCTATAAATCTATGAGTAGCTGAACGCTATTTCTAAAAGTAGAATGAGAGCCCGGGGAGGAAAATACCCCAGAACAGAAAACACCATGTGTTTTGAATTGTTTCCCAAGAACAAATTGTATTAGCTATACTAGCCAGAATTCCTATTTGAGACTTGCATTCATTTCAAAGCGTCCATTCAAGTGTGCTAATGAACAATACTTTACATAACAAAGAGGGGGAAAGTGAATACAAAGTTCAACTTTAGTCTCTGTTACTGAACACATAGGTTTTGCCAGTTTGTGAATTTTTATTTCACCTTTATTACCTTTACAAATAACTCAAGACGGTGAACACATACACCTCCTCCTCCTCCTCCTCTTTCCCCCCACAACAATCCTGTGAGGTGGGTTGGGCTGAGAGAACGAGATGGGCCAAAGGTCATCCAGCTGGCTTTCATGGCTAAGGGTGGGACTTGAACTCACTGCCTCCCGCTTTCTAGCCTGGAGCCTTAACCACCAGACCAAACTGGCTCTCCAAACTGTCCTCATGAAGAGACTCATTTACAACTTGGGTCCAAGCTCTAGGCCCTGCTCACGGACTCAGAAGCCAGGCAAAGGCGGAGGGAGGTGTTGGGCCAAGACTGGCCAAATCCAGGCTTGGTCCACTCTTAGCCAGCAGGACTCACTGGCTGACTCACTGTCAAGTGTCTAACTGACAAAGGTTGTTGTTGCAGAGACGGCTCTTGTTCCTTTCTGGCCCACCACTGGTGATAAAAGGTGAAGTCCAGAATGCTTTTGCTGGCCAGAAATAAGCAGATGTAATGAGTGCAATATCTGTATGATTGTGGCCTGTTCTATCAGTTCAAGAGGTAACTGTGGTGGTGGTGGGGAACCACAAGGCAGCCAAGTCGGTGGGCCTGGTCCACAGGTGGGACAACTCAGGAGTGGGAGAAAACTTCCTGGCAAGCAGAAAAGGAACAAGAAGCATGGGGAAAATGCAGAGCGACGCATTTTGGGTCTCGATTTCTTATAGCAATCAAGGTCAGACATAAATAAACCACAGACAGGTACCTTGAGCTGCTGGGCTACACGAAGGTGCCTTTCTCCTAATCCAAGTTCTCTGACTGCCACCCAGCCGTCACCCAACCCTCTTTTACCTCTTGCAGTTGAGACTCCTTTTTCTTGGAAGATAAATGCAGGTGGCGGTCCAGCATGGAGTAAAACTTCTCCCCATCCTTCTCAAACTTCTTCTTCCTTTCCTACGGAAAGAGAATTTGCACAAACTTCTACTGGGATCTACTGAGCACAAATGGAAGAGCCAAAAACAGAATTCACCCGACCTGTTAAAAACCTGGATGTTCGGAGAGGAAGAAAAATTGTTCCGATTTTGCTCAAAGGCTTTGCTAATATTATTTTCATATAATCCCAATTTCTGACTGGGGAATGTCTCCTCAAGCCCCAAATGTAACAGTGTTTTGGTTTACACACACAGTCAATTACGTTTGAACTTAGGCAATAAGCGCTGTGAATGGAGGATTCTCAGATTAAGTTTTTCCTATTAGTTTTGCCCAGAATGTCCATGAGCAAATCTGAACTGAAGCCTATCTTCTGTATCTCACCTTGTTTATTCTGCTGTGCACAAAAACAGTTTATTTCTAACACAGACCCAGTATAAAACATTAAACTGCACTCAGTCTGGGAATCATTAAAGTGACAGAATAACAGATTAATAACAAAATTATGCAGATTGTTAACAAATGAACTTTTAAACTCTTAGACGGTTCTATGTGAATTTTGCTTTCTATTGATATTAAACCATAGACTTCATAGACATTACAGACTATGATATGAGACCCAGTATAGTGTAGTGGTTAAAATGCTGGCCTACTATACAACTTTGGGTTAACATAAAAATTTTCCCACAAACCTGCTTCTATACATGAACATGCCATCCCAAAAAAAGACGCCAACTGATCACACAACTATATCATGTGGGTCAAGGAACCTGCAATTTTTTTATCTGTCTAGGGTAGAAAATCTGATATCCATCCTTTCAAATATGTTCTTCAAGGACTCCAATCTGCCCTAAATACAATTTGTGATGAATCAACCTGAATCTTAGATCTGCAGACACTATTTTACCATTTTAAAGATCATAAATCCACTGACAAGACTTTGAGGAATTTTATTTCTTTAGTCCATGCTTCAAATATTCTGGAAATGTCCACTTTAAAAGTATTTTTGAGCTTTTGATAAAAAATATATTACATGTTTTAATTCTGACATGGATTCTATCAAGTAAAAATGCATTACAGCCCATTTAAAGTCATGATCTCAGCTTTTGTACAAACTTTGCAATTTACCACCAATTTTCTTAATAGAAGTTTTTCCAAAGAAAAATGAGTGTCATTATCACATATGACTCTCATGATCAAAACTCTATCGGTGTCCCAAAATGGCCCAGATTTCTCACCACTCCATGAAATAAAATACTTTTCTTCTACAGATTATATTTCCCATAGTCACATAGGAAATATGTGCAATATGTCATTATATTTTCACTTTACAAGCAGCTATCTGATAAGGCCAATTAGTTTTTTAAAAATCGCAAAGGTTAGGGTTGCCATTTTATAAAGAATATCTAGGTTTTAATCTGATAAAAGAAAGCAGATTTTAATCTGATAAAAGAAAGCAGATACCTGGTCTACCTCAGTATTTGCTTAAAAGAAGAGCTGTGAATCAGGAGAGAGCCATGCTAGTCTGTGGTAGCCCAGAATCAGGAGTCTATTCACTTGTTGAAACCAAGATATTTTATTAAAAGGCATAAGCGTTTGTGAGTGCTTTTCCTCAGATGAACAACGCTGGATTTAATTCAACACTATTGCCACTCGATTCATCTGACGAAATGAGCTGCTGCTCACAAAAGCTTATGACTTCTGATGAAAGGTGTTGGCCAGAAAAGACACTCCCGTCGCATCTTCTGAGCAACGACCGGCAGTCCCTGTAGGGAGAGAGCTGTGGTGAGACCCGTGAGAGTGATCCTCACCCTTAGAAGGGAGAGGACACGAGTGTCCTTCATCATTTCTCAGCCTTTGGGCTGAGAGCAAAAGCTCTGTGGTGGCTGGGAGGGCACACGGGCAGCGCTCGCCTCAGAATGGCTCCCGTTCCTGACTCCGCCTCTCACCCAGATTTCTACCTTAGGCGCAACCTGCATTTGCAAATGGGCTGCCGGTTGCTCTGCATTGCCTTTCCTTTCCTTGAATATTAAACATGTGAGGCTGAGAGCATTACACGGCTTCCCTGGTTTGCTGCCTGCCATTTCTAGTCATAGGCAGCCCGTTTGTGTCTGGGGTTGTGCCCAAGGCTGTCATCCTCAACTTGGAGCCTCTAAACTCTGCGCCACATGACTAAATCGAGGGATCCTGTAAATCAGATCCTCTTCCTAAAAACGCAGCATTCCTGAGTCACCCGTACTAGCCAACCACAGGGAACTGCTGACCCCACCCCCATCCCACCCGAGCGATGGACCACATGAGGAACAGGCCGCCTTCAAGGCCAAGGACTGCCCTACTAAAGAGGGGACCTTATATAGAACCCCCACCACCAAAAAACCCCAAAGGAATCGAGCAGCTACCACAAAGGAGAAATCGTTGGGAAAAGGAGACCTGCGGCAGGTGCCGGGGTCATCCGGACGAATCATTAACCAGGAAGGTTTACTTTAGTTATCTCCACCACAATTTGTTCACACACTGAGGAGATTCAAATCACAATTATTTTTAGTAAAAAGTATGTTTTGGTTTGATTTGACCCAAACAGATTAATTCTTCAGGGAGAGAGAGGTGTAGAATTCCTTTTAAATAGAAGAGCCCCTCCAAGCCATTCTCCAGCCAGACTCTTCCCTTGTTTATTTTCTTCCATCTTTTCATCTGAGTAGCAATGAAGCAGGCAGAACCTTGGAGAAACCACTGGGAGCTCTACCACGTCCAGGTCAATTAATCATTATGGAGGTTTGGAAAGTATTTTTCTGTGCCAAGAATGCAACGATCCATCATTTTTAAGATGTCATTTATAAAATGTTTACAACAAGACCTTATTTATGGCCATGATTAGTTCTGGTTTAAAAAAAACAACAAGGTAATCTTCTGGACCGTCTCGCTCAAATTCTTGGGACCAAGTTTTGCTTCGTCCCCTGCTTTCCATTCCCCGTCTGCCTATTTACAGACTGCTGCTGCTGCACCCCACTTTCCATCACCATCGCCTCGTTTTTCTAGACATTGCAGGAACCATGTCGTGGCAGCCCCCCAATTAAAAAGAGATAAACAATGTGGTACCCAAAGAGAGAGAAGGAGGCCTCTGTACTTTCTTCCTCACCCTGAAATCCAGCAAGGCCCAGATTTTAGGAAGGGGATGCCCCTCTGTCCGTGGCCCAAACAGGGAGGCTGGAAGTGGGAAGGGTCCCTCATCTGCAAAGAGTTCCTCGAATGAGAGACTCACTCTCAACTGAGTAACGAGGGGCATTTAACAAATAATCAGAGATGTGACTCCTCAGAAGGCCAATCCAAAGAAGTTTGTATTTCTTCCGCTATCTTACAATATTCGTACTCTTTGCACAGGACACTATTTCCTAGCTCACAATATGGAAAGTGCAAAGTCATAACATCCTAATTTTTAAAATTATAAAAATATATCACGGCTAACATATGTAGCTATCCGAGACATTACTCTGCATTTTTTTTTATTTATTTTTTTAAGGAAGTGGCTGGAGATACTTTGAATGAGCTTGAAAATCACAGAAGAATAAAATCAGTCTCATTTTAATAGTTACGTTACAAATAAAATGGGATTCCAATTTTTTTTACTACCGGTTCTGTGGGCATGGCAGGGGAAGGATACTATAAAATCTCCCATCAGAGATGGGATTTGCCGGTTCTCCGAACTACTTGAAATTTTCGCTACCGGTTCTCCAGAACTGGTCAGATCCTGCTGAATGCCACCTCTGGATTAGACGCAGAACTTACTTTGGTGAATCCAATTTGCTCCTTACGGAATTTTTCCAGAGGTTTGATCAATAAATTACTGGCATTTTGCACCTGTGAGGAAAAAGGTAGATAAATAATAAATAGGGCAACAACACTGAACCTTTTAAATCATGCATTTGGTCTTCCACTGTGCTCCAGAACTAATTCTGAAGTAACTCATTTGAAACTCTGCAGAACTAGAGAAGAACTCGTGGGAAATGAGAGTTCACACGAGCAGAGTTTGGCCTGGTTCTCACCTCAAACTAAGTGTTCTTCTGGATTAGTTTGTTATGTGAGACCAGCTACTTTGGTCTTTTCAAGAAACAGTATTAAAAGCTAATCGTGGAAAGAAGTAACAGAAATCATGATATGGTGCAATGGGCTTTGCGTAATGTGATGTGTGCTCTCAGGAAACCACCCTCTCCAATTTGGAGACCTCAGACAAAAACCATCAGTGGCCAAGAGCTCTATACCAGATCAAGCCTCTCCTTAAAGCCTCCAAAATCTTGGACTGCTCAGTGTCCCCTGGAAGGGAGTTTTTTTTTTTTGAAGTTTTGTGCCCTGAACTCAACTGAAGTAAAAGAAGAGGGGTGAAACCTGACAGAGAGAGGACATACAGCTTTGTAAGGGAAATGGACATATTTATTGTGTACTTATGTATTTATCGTGCAACTGCTTGATTTAAAACCCCCACAAGAAATACCGACAGCAATTAAGATGTGTTAATGAAGGAATCCAATAATTAGGAATGAAATATACAGAATCCCAGAAAACCCATGGAAAGAAGTAACTTGTTAAAATGGGGTAGATCCTTACTGACTCCTGTCCAGCAGGGAATTCTGCAAGGGCCCTATGTTAGAAGTTGCATTATTGTAGCTATTATTCATCTTGTTGTGGCCGGATTTAGAACCAAACATGGATCGTGCAACCTATTAAGTTAGGATTGTAGTTGGTCAAATAAACCACCACTGCACAGATTATACCATAAGCCAAGATTTACAGTTCCCAAGATTCAACATGACACGGCATGCTGGGCCCAAACCAAGCATCCTTTGGGTCATGCAATGATGAGGCTGAGTCCCATTTTTCTGGATCCTCAACCTACTTCTGACTAAGGAGGAAGAAGAAATGTCCTTACCATCATGGACCTCTCAAGTTCCACCTCTTGGAGCAGCTCAGCAAATTCCTTAAAGGATTCAGCTGAAAAGGAGAGAAAATACTCTAATGAGAAAACATTAATTGAGAGATTAAATAATCGAGAGATTAACTGAGAGCCAGTTTGGTGTAAAGGGTTAAGGCACCAGACTAGAAAGCAGAAGACTGTGAGTTCAAGTCCCGGTTTAGCTATGAAAGCCAGCTTGGATGACTTTGGGCCAGTCACTTTCCCTCAGTCCAACCTACCTCACAGAGTTGTGGTTGTGGGAAAAATAGAAAGAGGAGGAAGGTTATGGGAAATGTCTGTTGCCTTGGGTTATTTGTAAAACTAATAAAAGTGGGATACAAATGAAGACTTGACTCTAAGGGATGGGGATATACAGTACTTCCTATTTCCCTCATCTTGCCTTTAGCATCTTCCTCATGGGAGTAATACCCTGAAAGTGTAGCCTTCTTGGCAGATTATCCTATCGATGTGCCAGGAGAGATTATTCAGCTGTGACCAAGAGAGGGTCTCCCCAAAACCTTCCGAGCAAACAAGAGCGGTGTGTCCCACGTCTCCCATGTCCAAAACAACTGCCCACTGGAACCAAAGGATGCATTTCTACCACATGATAATTTTAAGACTGCCTGAAATCTGGGTCAAACCATCTTTGCCTTTGGACCCAGAGCCCACTGTCTTGGCTTTTGGCTTTTGGCTTTAATTTAAAAGTGCAACAGAAGATTGAACTTCCCTTCCCCAGCATAATGCTCATAAAATCTTCCCTTTCCTTAAAGGATAATATGGAATCATCTATTGGATGTTTATGCTGTGCCAAATCTGTTTTGCAATTTATCGAAAATTTTCCCCTCCTTCGGTTTTTCTGCCTTATCCTCAGAGTGTCCCAACCCTCAGCAGAGAGGGGAGGAGGGCAGCCCAGGCCTGCTGCTTTCTGACATTTCCCTTGTTTCATCACTTTGCAGCTGCCCTGACTGTTCACACCTTCACTTTTTCCTGCTTATTCTTCTCCCAAATATAAATTCTGCATGATTTTACAAACATTTACTATATACTGCAATAAAAGAACTGATCCGATGTTTGCATCTATCCATCGATCCATCGATCCATCTCAAATATTAATAGGCAAAGTAATCACTGATACAACTGGGTTGCCTATCAGCTAAGAAATGTGAATAGTAAACACACTATTTGGAAAAGAATTCTTAAAACAGGCACTCCGGTTTACTTTCTTGCCATGGAAGTAAGTAGAAGCCCACCTTCTGAGCAGGACAGAATGTCATACAACTCCTTTTTCTAAAACAAAAGAGGAGTGAGAGCATGAACACATTTTTTTTTCAAGAGAAGAAAGCTGCCTTGTGTTAAGGGCCTCCCAAGTCACGCTGGAAAGGAGAAACGAAATGCGGGAGAGTCCCATTCTTGGAAATACACAATCCAGCTGTTGCTGGGTTCCCTAAACTGTTCCATGGATCCCGTGGTCAGGCAAAAACAAGACATAAATCTAGCAGACCTATCAACAAGGCCAGATATAATTTGAGTTTTAAAACTTAACAATGTCCTCTTTCCAGTGAAACTTTGGCTGGCCTAATCTAGGGCTGCTGCTCTGGATCTGAGCTCTTTTCCACTGTTCCGGCGGCTGATCTGCCCATCATAAGAGGGGCTGGCATGGCAGGTATGGAGAGGAAGCCAAGTATGCCGGGTGGGTTTCACGCGAGGTATTCTAAACTGAATTGCAACCAAGAACTTTATTACTCAAGTAGCACATTAAATGACGAGGCAAAAGAGGCAGCTGGCCAAAAAAGCACTTACCAATGTTGATTTCATCATCTGTCAGAGTGTCCCCAATGAAGTCAAACTGGAAGGACTGGAGCGTCAAGGAGAATTTCTGGACCGCCAAGGAATAATCTGGGAAAGTTTAAAAAGAGGAGAGTCTCACACGCGCGTATGCAAGAAGGGCACCTCAATTTGCAGAAACCTCATAGCTGAAGCAGAGCACGGATTCTGAGCTTGCCCTCTCTCCCCCCCCCTCGCCCCCCCCCCGCCCACCCAAGTATCACCGGCTTACAAATGGGCAGCTGGCTTGCCTGCCTCGTCTTGGCTCCTCCCCTTCACCCACAGCCCCGCCCATGGCCCCGGCTGGCCCCTGCAACTTCCAAGGAACGCCCTGCATGCAGCTCCTTCCTTCTGCCGGCCAAAAGCGCCTTTGGGGCCAACCAATGTTCTGGGAAATAAATCTTACATTGAAGGCTGGCGCTCTGTTTTATAGCAATGCAGCGTCTCAATATTTTCTTTTTTTAATGAAAACAATCTGTAACGGAATCAGGATTCAGAGAGAGGCACCAGAGTAAATGTTTACCAGCATGCTGTTCTCCGTGGCTGTTAAACTGCCTTCACCAGTTTTAAAATAAACACGCAGAAGAGAGACTTTGTGTGCATTAAAAATAATTTCCATGCTGGGGGTCAACATAGGTCTGTCTAGGAGGGAGGGAGGGAGGGAGGGAGGAAGGAAGGAAGGAAGGAAGGAAGGAAGGAAGGAAGGAAAAGATTGGCAGGGCTGTTCTGGATTTTGCAGGACAGTTGTCCGACTCCATGGCCTTGCAAAACTGTTTAACAGCAAAGCCCGCAGGCTCTCAGCCAACTAAGCGTCTTTCTCCACCCTTGATCCCTTCACTGGAGATATTGTGCCTTATAAGCAAAATGTGCTCTTATTTATTGTACATCAAGTATACTTGCATTCAAAACCACATTTTTTTCCCAGTATGGTTTTTATCCCTGACCCTGAACTTTCCCCCTTCATCTTCATGTTCAGCGATCGGATTTTCAAGCCATTAATTCGTCTTATTTATTCGTACTTATTTTTTTTTGTATCCTGCCTACTTTTCATAAACAACTCAAAGAGGTAAACGTAAGAATCTAGAGTCACAGGGCTGGAAGGACCCTTCATCATCTCCGCACACTTTCCTGAATCTCAACACCGTTTTTGTGTCATAATGACCAGAACTGGACTCGGTATATTCCACGCGGGGCCTCAGTATAAAGTGATATAATGTTCCCTTCTTGTAATCTTAACGTTTATCCCTTGCTCAATAATTGGGGATGGTTTTGATGCTTCCTCTTCCTCTGTTAATCTTCCCTCTCGGGGCAACTGAATCTGCAGGCAGCATAATTAATTTACTTTTGGGTCACCATTTCTAAAAGTGTTTAAAAGCTCAGCTTCTTTTTCTTTTTGTTTGCATTCTGGAAGTCTGGAAAATACTTGCCTAACCAAAAACAACTCAGACTTAAGCACCGAGAGAGGACGACTGTTTTGATGAGCTCCCTAGAACCGCATATTTATCAGCATTGGTGGCCCATGGGTTGATTTGAAAGGCGGGCAGCAAAACTCTGAGGGGAAAAAAACTCTTTAATTTCTGATTGCCCTGCTGGGCTCACGGAGCAGAATCCAAAGAATTTAGGCCCTTTAGGCTCTTCAGCCTCTTTCGAAGGCCCACAAACCACAAAGAGGAAGCAAAGGGCCATAGGGGTGAGCTGTGGATAAACCCTACCCTGGAAATGCCATGGAGCCAGGCAGGACTTCCATGTCTCCAGTCCAATAAACCTCTGCCTATTTGGGGTCAGGTGAGTGAAGGATCTACGGGAAAGGAGGAATAAAAGGACCTTGAGCAAGATCCTGCATAGCCAGGGGCAATATTAAGGGCAATGGACCAAGAACATTACAGGAATTAAAGGAGGAATTAAAAGTGCAGCGTGAATGACACCATGTGTGTATCATTTACCCTTTCCACCCTCCCCACTGCTTCCTTATTTTAACCATACATCTACATTTTGAGGTAGGCGGAACTGTGACTCAGGGACTGGCCACACAAAGACACCTACAGATTTGCAAGAAAACAAGGACTCAAGATCTGGATGTCCCTTCATCTCCCCACTGACCCTGTCCGAGCTTCCTGTCAGTTCTTTCACACATCAAGTCTCTTCCCATGGCCAACAGCCGCATTCTCAAACATAAAAAGACTGCTTTTCTGAGCTTAAGGAGAATCGAATTTGCAGTGTTTTCAGCAGAAAGCACCCAGGAACTGGATAAGGGTGTGTCCAGGAAGAGCTGCGGAGCCCCAGACGGGTTGCTCTGAAGAGGAGGAGGAGGAGGAGGAGGAGGAGGAGGAGGAGGAGGAGGAGGAGGAATAAAAAGGTAAGAGAGCAAATGCTGAAGCCAACAGCCGCTCAACTCATCCTCAGACTGTCCCCAACAAGCTTCTACCGTCTCCTTTCACTTGTTCTGCTGGGCACAAAAGAGAAGAGTTCTCCAGAAAGCCCAACTAGAAGGCGGGGTTTTTTCATCTTATTTTCCGAACCTTCAGACAGCCAAGGCTTTTCCAAGGTTCCGGGAACAACTGGGCCGTTCTTCAGGTTTATTGTGTTTGACCACGGCACGAAGCGAGGTAATGCGATGCAAGGGATAATGCATGGAGAACGGGGTTTGGTGAGCGCTTGACTCTTGTTTACTTCCTCAAACTCTCTAGGCTGCTGAAATCCTTGAAGACTATTCTTTTCCTCAGAGGCTTCCTGGATACGGGTCAAGCCACTAAGAAGGGCCTTTCGCTTGGTTTTTCACTCTCGTAGTTTGCTAGGAGCGATGTTTGCAGCTTCTGTGCCCAAAATTTCCTGCACAGTTGTAGGAGTCAAAAGCATGACAGCCCCATCTCTTGGCAAGACGGAGCTAAAACATGCCAGTGGACGACCATTTGGCTTCTTATCCTTCTTGGCGTAAAATTAGAAATAGCAGCTCATATTAAGTATTCCGGTGCTCATCAGAAGACTAAAACACGGGTCTCCCTAATCCTAGCCCAGCATTTTCACCATTTCTAGTTCAACTAGAAGGCACAAGTGTCCACTTCTGAACCTGTTAGCTAAGGTGGCCATTCTCCATCTCATAATAGTTAGCCATCGCTTTCCATAAAGGGATATCACAATTCTTCCATTGACTACTTAAAAGGGAATTGTTCAAATGTCCCAATTCAGGTTTGCCCACCTGGCCCTGCGTGTGCCTGCTATGAATATGCCAAAAGGGAGAATAAGATCTTCTCAGCTGCCTTCGTCCAAGGAAGGCCGAGACCTGTCAAGGCCAGCCTGCAGTTTCGGCTTCAACTCCAAACTTTGTGGTAGTGGAAAGTGACAACACAGTGTGGAAGTCGTGCCAATGCCTACATCTTCTGCTCAACAGCAACTCTGCATCTGAAGATAAGCTCCTTTCCACTGTCCAACCCAAAAGATCTGGACACATCTTTGCTCAATGGCAGCCTTCCCCAACCTAGACATCTCTGGATGTATTAGGGGTAGAGCTACTGGAGACCTCCTGGGGCCAGGCGTTGTTCCTCAGCATCTCTGCCCAACACTCAGGGAAGATTGAATCTCTTAGGCATCTAAGTCCTTTGATTAGGCATTACAAGTAAACTAATAACTAGCAGTCAGCACGGGTTTGTTAAGAACAGATCATGCCAAACCAATCTTATTTCATTCTTCAACACAGTGACTAAATTAGTAGACCAGCAAAATACTCTGGACATAATATATTTAGATTTCAGCAAGGCATTCGACAAAGTAGGCCACAACCTACTTCTTAGTAAGCTAGAAAAAAAGTGGAATAGATAGCACCACCACTAGATGATCTCGCAACTGGATGGCAAACCTTACTCAACGAGTAGTCCTTAATGGATCTAAGTCTACATGGAGGGAAGCAAGCAGTGGAGTGTCACAAGGTTCCATCTTAGGCCCAGTACTCTTCAATATCTTCATTAACAACTTAGATGAGGGAATAGAAGGGGAACTTACCAAATTTGCAGATGATACTAAGCTGGCAGGAATAGCTAACACCCAAGAAGATAGGCTCAAGATCCAGATGGATCTTGACAGACTAGAACACTGGGCTGGATCTAAACAAAATGAAATTCAATGTAGAGAAAAGTAAAGTCCTACACTTAGGCAAGAAAAACCAAAAGTACACATATAGACTGGGTGAAACCAGGCTCAATAGCAGTAACTGTGAGAGGGATCTTGGGGTCTTAGTGGATAATCAACTAAATAGGAGCCAACAATGTGCAGCAGCAGCCAAAAAAGCTAATGCAATCCTAAGTTGTATTAACAGAGGGATACAATCAAGATCAAGGGAAGTACTAATACCACTCTATAAAGCCTTAGTAAGACCACACTTACAGTACTGCATCCAGTTTTGTTCACCATATTATAAAAAAAATGTTGAGACTCTAGAAAAAGTACAGAGAAGAGCAACTAGGATGATTAGGGGACTGGAGGCTAAAACATACAATGAACGGTTGCGAGAACTGGGCTTGGCTAGTCTAGTAAAGAGAAGGACCAGGGGAGACATGATAGCGGTCTTCCAATATTCGAGGGGCTGCCACAGGGAGGAGGAAGGGGTCTAGCTATTTTCTAAAGTGCCTGTAGGCCAGACAAGGAATAATCGATGGAAACTGAACAAGGAGAGATTCAACCTGGAAATAAGGAGAAACTTTCTGAGAGTGAGAGCAGTCAACTCCAGGAATAGAAGTTGCCTTCAGAAGTTGTGGGAGTGTCATCACTTGAGACTTTCAAGAAGAGATTGGACTGCCATTTGTCAGAAATGGTGTAGGGTCTCCCGCTTGGGCGGGGGGTTGGACTAGATGACCTACAAGGTTCCTTCCAACTCTGATTATCTGTTCATTAATCTGTTAAAAGTCCTTGATGCGCATCCCTTCATTCTGCCTTATGATGAACATTTTTTCATTGATTTTTCTTTCTTCCCTATCTCCACATTACATCTAGTTCTTACTCAGAATATTAATTTCTGCAATGAGCTCCAAAATCTTCAGTCACATTATTAATAAATGCACATTTGCAAAGTGCTTTGCTGT